GTAGGCATTCACAATGAAATTGTCTGATAAGCATACAGAAGTAAAGTTTTTAGGATTTCAAATCTAATAGGATGTATGTATTATCCAAGGTGATGAAACTTGGCTAGTCCTATAGTGAAAAGTTACATTAATATTAGTGAATTACTATTGTGACAATATACTAAAAACAAGCTATCCACAGCTCAAATATTTTTGCAACTCTTCTCAAGTGAGTGGGGTGGAATGCCACTGGAATAACCAGATCAGCATCATTCACCAAAACCCACCCACACGAAGGCAACCTAATGAGGAAGACGCAGTAACCCAGGAGGCCGCAGAGCCACCAGCACCCACCCATCTCCCACAGCACATTTTTTTTTCATTAGCTGAGCCATCCTGCCACCTGTTGGCAGCTCAGCGGCAGCTCAGCTCGGGCCGGGAATCAAACCAGCGACCCTGTTGTTCAGAGTTCAAACTCTTGAGCGAGCTCTTAACCAACTGAGCCACTCGGCCGGCCCTCCCCACAGCACATCTTTGTTCCTCCCGAGTCCTCTCCAAAGGAAGGACCAGATTCATTAGGAATACTAACTACAACACTTGCTGCAGATACTATAGCTCAAGGGGAATGCAAGGCCAGGGGTTTTAAAAAACACATTCCAAATCTGAACACTTCTGTTTGAGTCAGGCTAACATCTGCTCAAAAACTCAGGCTGCATCAGTGCGAGCAAAGTTGGCAAACCTTTCTGTAAAGCACCAGATAATAACATTCTAGACTTTTTGGGCAAAGGCCTATATGGCAACTACTCAACTATTCAGCTGTAGCATGAAACCAGCCGAAGACAGAACCTAAAGCAGCGGTTCTCAACCTTTCACAGGGGTCACCTCAGACCATCGGAAACACATATTTTCGATGGTCTTAGGAACCGAGACACTGCTCTTCTATCCGTCTCCAGGCCCACATGCAGATATGCCCACACACGAGTATCCAACGACCCCTGTGAAAGGATTGTTCGACCCCCAAAGGGGTCACGACCCACAGGTTGAGAACCGCTGACCTAAAGGAATAGGCATAACTGTGTTCCAATAAAACTTTACTCACAAAAACAGGAGGTGGTTTGTAGCATGCCAACCAACCTCTGAACCTGAGAATAGTTTGCTTAACCCTCATTCCCAAATCCCAAATGGGTAATTCTAGTGAATTACAAACGATGTAACTCAGCATGCTTAGCTCTCAGTATCAACAAGTAATGACACACTGTCGATCATAGCTACCCAGTGAGAATTCCAATGATAATAATATCAATAGCAACAAAAGTAATAATAGTGCCCTCCCCCCCAAAAAAAGGAAGTAATATTAGGTACTTTATGCCAGGGATTTGTTCAGTTTTCACACATATCATCTCATTTCATCCCCATAACAACTCTATGAGGGAAGTGGTATTAATTATTCCTATTTCAAAGGTGGGGAAACTGAGGCTCCAAACAATTAAATATCCTCCCAACCTCATAAAGATATTAAGACATAAAAATTAGATTTGAAATGTTGTCTATATGACTTCAGAATTCATAATCTCACACCCCATACCCCCAAAGCATCAGTGATATTATCTTAGGAGGAACAAAGACAAGTCTGTGAATTAGAGGCAGGAGATTGAAACCTGGACCATTAAACCAATCTTTCAGAAGTGGCCTACATTCCTTTTGCTAAATTTCAAAAACACTTCCCACTACAAACAATGAGCTTTTCGTTTGGGAGCCCCACTTTTGAAGCAACATTGATGGCTAGAGGTATACATACCTGCAGCTAATAGTCCAACATCTGGTTTACTGTGGTTTGAAGGTGCTGGTGTAAATGCCAAAAGGAACAGGCAACAAATCTTACTCTTTCCTGCCCTTTCTTTGTCTATTTGCCTAATGCTAAGGAATGTCTCTGATGGAACCCAAGTCTTCTTGACCTGAGAACTGATATTCCACCTTTTCGTGTGAGGGTGCTGACTATGCTGCCCCAAAATATGCCTTTTGGGATATAGGTTGCTTTAAGTTTGTTGTTTTTAAGAAACAAAAGACTCGGAAAGAAACTTTGACCTCTCCCCTAAGTGCCTAAAAGAACTCAGATAGAAGACCTGTTTCAGGAAAGGAGAGATCATCATAGATAACTCTGTTTAATATGAACTAGGCAGTGATAGAACCCTGCAAGGCCCCTCGGATTAAAGTCCTCTGTGTCCCATGGTTTCAAGACTGCCCAACGAACATTTGTTTATGAGACATGAACGTTTTCCACCTCCTTGGAAATTGCCTTACTGTCCTCCAAAGTCCTAGACCACCAATTCCCATCCCTTCCTTACTCCAGAATGACATGCATACCTCATTTCGCCTTACTATCTTTGGAATTTTTATGCTTATGTGAATTCCCCACATACACGCCTTATGTCATTTTGATTATTAGTTCAGCCAGAAGAACCTTCCAAGGGTAGGAGAAAATTGTATTTGTCCTCCCCTACAGGTGTGAAGCAACCACCGATATGGTGGTATTTTCAGGAAATTGAAAGCATGAAGACTATGTATTGTCAACTGGCCAAAATAACTCTCCAGACAACCCATCAAAAGAGCGGTTTATTCAGAAAAGAAAAAGAAAGAAACCACCACAGCAGTGTGAGAATGCACTCCTCTGGCCAGGCTCCCAAAAGACTGCCCACGTGCAAAAAGAGAGCCCACCCCACCCTTCCCCAGATGTCCTCTCTCTATATAGATCCCTCCCCCGGAAGTTACCACAAAGTTTCTACAGGAAGTCAGGACTAGATAGTGAACAAGGGGCCCAGCTCCACCCAGAGTCCTCCCAGCTCTACGGTTAGTCATCTTAAGATGCAAGTTCACTTTTATCAGTATCATCAATTGATAACTTCTCTCATTCTTTTCTTCTCCTTTTCTTTCGTGCATAACGCCCAGCAAGATACTTCACAGGTTCTTCCAAATGTATATTTCTAGGGGATTTCTCATATGAGAGTCTTCCCAGTTCCAGAAAAAAAATCAATAAGAACAGGAATTGACAAAGGATAGCCTGTGACCCTATCCAACTGGCCACCTATTTTAGCATGGCATGCAAAAAAAGAATGGTTTCCATACTTTTAAATGGTTGAGGGGGAAAAAAAACATCAAAAAGTATAATATTACCTGACACATGAAATTCAAATTTCATTGTTCATAAATAAAATTTTATCAAAGCCCCGCCAGTTTGTCCAGTATTATCTATGGCTGTTTTTGCACTACGATGGCAGCTGTGTAGTTGCAACACAGACCGTAGGCCCGGCAAAGCCTAAGCATATCTGTATCATTACAGAAAAGCATGCCAAACTCCTGAGGTTCATCTTTCAGCCCTTCCACCAACAGAAGTGTCCAGGTGCAGACACAATGCATTCCAGAAATACAAAATGGAGGCTCATTAACTCCACCAGAGTTAATGATACAAACAACTGCTCCATCTCAAAAACCGTACCACTTTATGTCCATTCTTAACTAAGTAATAGGAAAAGAGTAAGCCTTTCATTCCTTCACCGACATTTTCAATTGGAGATGCTGATGGGATGTAACTTCCAATTTCCTGACTAAAGGCATTATTATTCTAAATTGATGAACTATAAATAGCGGCCACTTTATGCCTCTTCCTAACTGATATTGGAGCCACAGAGTACAAAAAGATAAATTTTCTTTGGATTGCTTGGCAAGAAGATACATACATACATACACACACACACACACACACACACACACACACACACACACACACACACACACACAAATGTAAGTTTGGCTTTCATCACCCTGTTTCCTTCATTTATCAAAAATGTTGACAAAAAGGCTCTAATTAGATCATTCTAATCACAGGGAACTGGGTGTGATGAAAGACCTCAGAATCACTATCTGTTCTTTGCAAAACAAAACAGATAGGCTATTCTCCCTGTAGGAGCAGGAGATTTATCAATAGACAAAAGGATGCAAAATGCTAATAGATAAGGTGTAATTAAAGATCAGGCCTATAAATTTTACACTGACACAAATTTCCGAGGATATGCAGGTGGAATTTCAGCATTTGGAACCTGGGTATCATCATGAAAATAATACCTTTCCGTTCTGTACGCAACAACATTGCATAATATATAGATTTGTTATTAAGACTAATGCTCCATGCCTCTAAGTTCTTTCATACAAAGAACTTGAATTATTCAGTGCCAACACAATTTCCAAAGTGGTCTATCTTCTTCAAGCATTCCTCTGTATTGGCTGCAATACATTTTCTGTATATTTTTGAACATCAAAATCTATTTTAGAAACAGTAATCCACCTATCGTATTTTTGCTAGTTGTTGGAGGCATCATTTAGAAAGGTCTGTGCATTCTTGTAGGTTTTCATCTTTTTCCCCTTATAATGTAAGAAAATTATTTCCAGTGTAATAGTCAACATGGTTATAATACTGCTCTCTCTCTCTCTCTTCACTGGCTCAAAGGCTGAAAGTAAAAATAAAAAATGAAAAGAACTGCAGAATACCACAGAGTAGAAGGCTAAAGTATATTCAACTAAGAAGATCTGATCTGAAAATAAAGTTAAATTTTTTTAGATTAAACCACAATAGATCATCTTGATATGGGATGCTTTATAATATTTAGCAGACATTTAGCAGCTCAAGACTAGCCATGTATTTTCTGCTCTCTGAAATCACAGTCACCGACAAAACAGAAAAGGCTATGTCTTGTGGAAAATTACAAGTTTGGTACAATGAGCCATTAACAAGTTGAGAAAATAAATTGAGGGGAAAAAGCAGGTTGAGAAAACAGGTGGGAGAGATAAATTAAAGTACTTAATATAACCTTGAGGAAAAACAGGCTTGACTATTTCAACGTTTAGGAAACTACGAAAGGTTTGAACAAACAGAAGTCAGGCAAGAAAGTGATTCAAAGTGTGCTTTCAACTGAGTTGAATGGGACGTGAACTGGCCTGGTGACCCTGTTCAGAACAAGTCAACTTACCAGAGTAGGCCCAGTAAGGGTCCCCTGAAGCCTTGCGCCTGCGGATCTGCGCTGAGCTCCCGTGTCTGCTCTCCTGCAGGGCCCCAACGTAGCCTTCTGTCAGCGCTGGAAGACAGGGAAAGCCACATGAGACAGTCATCACCCCACTGGACACAGGAAGGTGTCAAGTGTACACAGCTGAGTAACTCCCTAGAAGCACCGACCTTGGAATAACTGAACAGAACCTCCTGGTTTTACAAAAAAACAACCACAGGAGACCCTAGAGAAATTACCATGGTTACTATTAGTATTAATCACAGCTTACGATGAGCTTTGACTCTGTGCCAAGAAGCACAATACACTAAGCACTTTATATACATTATCTTATTTAATCTGCAAAGACCACCAAGTAGAAGATACAATGGTCCCAATAATGGGGCCATTCCATAGATATGCAAACTGAAGCTTAGAGAAGTTAAGTCACTTGAATTTGCCCAAGGTCATACAACGACTAGACCTTGAGCCTGTGGTTTTGGTGCCAACCACATGTACAAATAAGCCTATGTCATAGGTGCAAATAGCCTCTAGCCTCATTTGATCTTCAGAAAGCAAGGGTCATTCCATCTCTTTTACAGATGGAGGCCTTCAGGCTCAGAGACACTAAGATACTGGTCCCAGGTCACACAGGTAAATATGCAGCAGGTCAGGGAACCCAACACCAGCATGCCTGCATCAAAGCCAGGCCCTCTGCCATCCACACACAGCACAGTCTGAGGCCCGGGAGACTCCCCATGGGGAGTATCAGGCCTCCACATTCTCTGGACTCCAAAGAGTCACCTGTTATATCTGAAGACATGAAATTTGAAACCCTCCCAGGCCAACATGCTCAGAAAAAAAAAACACAAAACATTGCTTAATGATGTTTTTTGTTTTGTTTTTTTAAGCTTTTAGTGGGGAATTGAGGGAGGGGAACAGCATTGGGGAATTGGGGGAGGGGAACAGACAAGTTGCTGTTCTTTTGTTCTTCAGTCTAGTTGTGGAGGACGTCGCTTCACTAGCCCATATATTGGTATTATCATTGCGCTCCTCCCGGCTGAGGCAGATCGGTCGCCGGCCTCTGGATGGCCACTCACGGCGGCTCTTTGGCAGCTCACACCGGCTGCCGGCCACACACGGTAGCTTATGGCAACCCACTGTAGCAGGGGCTGCAGCCTATGCCATCACCGGCGACTCACAGCAGCCCAGCTCCAGGTCGAGCTGTTGTTCACCATCTTAGCTGTTCAGGGCTGTGTCACTGGCCCTCATGTGGGATCCGAACCGGGGCCCTGCTGCTCAGAGCTGGCGTCCCAAGCCAGCTCTTAACCAACACACTACTCGGCCAGCCCAATGATGTATTTTTTTAAAAACTGAAAATGAATCCAATCTTCTACCCCATTACGGACAGCTTCAATCTGCCAGCTATAGTGTTTGAAGCCCTCCCCTCCCATCCCATCCTATCATGGATGCAAATTTCTTTTGTTGTGAGTCCACACCTGAATGCACTGATACGTGAAAGAAGACAAATATCACAGGTGCCCAGAATCTAAAATGAAATGGAATTACACTTCAAACAATACATCCCAGCTGTCTATGTTCACATTTAAATGCACCCAAACAAATTAAAATGCACTTTTAAAAAGCAAAGAAAATGGTTAGAGAAATGTATATTCAATTAAAATGAACATGGTACTAAGAAAACACAATACATATTCTATTCCAAATTAGTCAAAGTAATAATAATAATAATAATAATAGTAATCATCTCACCATGATCGCATACGCTTTGTTGACAATGTGACAGTCACGAAGAAAATTAGGAAACATGTACTTTATGCTTACATGTCAATGCTAAGACTGGTTTTAAGAGAAGTAATGCCTGAACAAAGAACGAAGATACTCCACACAGATGAACCCTTCAGAGGGAAGTGGGAATCCTGTAAAATCCTAAAACACATCTAAAAAGTAAACCTGGTGTCACGCATGCCTGCTCATTGGTCCTGAATGACAAAGTCGAAATCTGAGTTACAAACCAATTTTAAAGTATGATGAAGGTTTAGGTACCTCCAATCCAACCTATTCTGCAGTTTTGCAGATGAGCTATTCAAAGCCCAGGAAGTTGACAATTGTAAACCTCTATCAAAACTAAAATTCTCCAACTCCTAGTCTCCTAAACTATTTTTATTTCATACACTAAAGCACACCAAGTCAATAACTGTTAGGCTTCTTTATGACTTGGGAAACTTTTCTGTCTACTATGTCTCTTAGAGCTAGTACATTCTAAATAATCATTCCCAAATAAGTCTTCCTTTTTGTATCAGGACAATGAGCAAAAGAGTGCCTTGACCTTCCTTGGGAGTAATGCAAGTGGTTTCCATTAGGGTATGTGGTAGAGCCTCAGTTTCCCTGTCTGTAAAATGGAGCTGAAAGTACCAACCCTATAGGATAGTTACAAAGGTAACCCAAGTTACTGTGAGTAGACCACCCAACTCAGCACTGGGAATATAGTGCTTTACAATGTCTGATGACAGTGGAAACCTGCTGCAGTCAGTGTTTTTGTAATCGTCATGCCCACTCTCTTAGCCAGGAGTCATAAACTGGAGAGCCATGCTCTCTGGCCTGCATCCCTGCAGCTCCAGGAGTGGGCCTGGTTTGGCTTAAGCCAGTCAATTGCTGGAAATTATGCCCTGACCCCACCCAGTGGTATGTTTGGGGGACACTGGCCAATCAGAGTCTTCTCTCTTCCTTAAGCTATTAAGACATGAGCCTGAAGCCTCAAGGGGGTGATTGAAGGTCAAGAAGGGGATCAGCAGAGGCGCTCAAAAAGGTAGCCAAGCCAGAGAAAATCTATAGATAATTTCTGTTGACAAAACTTAAGGCAGGGACAAAGCCATTTTAAAACCAACCCCATGGGTGCTCTATATTTACATGAACCAATTATCTGCCAAAGCTTACTTTTCTGTCTCTTGTATGCAAAGATCCCCAAATGACACCAACTGTGACCTTAGTGAACTTCAAACAAGTCTCTTCAACTCCTGATCACCAAGTTCTCCATCCATAAAAGACTGGACTACAGCTCTCTCAACCGCCACAGACAGATTTAATTGGTCTAGGGTGGGACTCAGAAGTCAGTCCTTAAAAAAAAAACCTTCTCCAGGTGATTCTCTTTTGAAGCCAGAGATAAACACAAACCCTTGACCTCGGGTCCCACTCAGCTCTGACATTCTGAATTCGTACCCTCCTGCCTGGAACCTAACATGCTAAGTCCTAACACTAGTGAAAAGCTGGCTGGGCAGAAATCACCCCGCTGTGGCATCAACCTCAGAATTCAGACAAATAAATTTGAACTGAACCAGAGGTCTAGCCAGAAAACAGAGAAATAAACTAGGTATCAAAGTAAAGAAGGGATGAGGTTAAGGATATAAATTCATATACCTTTACATTAGATATTATCTAGTATCGCAATCTCCACCACCAGTCCTCCACCTTCTTTTTTTTTCCTGAAAAGGGGGTGCTTTCCATTTCCCAGAACCTTTGAGAACATCAGGGTGGGCAAAGGAGGCTGAAGGCTGCCAGCAGTGGCTCTCACTGGAGTGGCTTCCGCAAGGGCAGCTGTATTGCCCATCCTGCCAGGAAAGCAAAGCAACCGAGTCCAGGGCTTCAGCAGGTAACCGTGAGAGCCTCCAAGACCACAATGCCCAAAGTCTTTAACTAGACTGGATACAGGCCATAGGTCTTGGGGTCCCACACCTGCCAGCTCCGCAAGCCCACCAAACCAATTAGTGAAAGAGCGAATCTATGAAGATATATTACATTCAAGAAACAAGGGAGGTACATATCAGAAGGTCCTCCCGACACTACAAAGTAGTGGAATCCATACCCCAGAGAGCAGGTACTTTCCCAGCCATCCATATAGATCACAGCATGGTGTAAGGGAGCTGAGCTGAGCACCAGAACTGCCTGTCTAAAGGTGGCTCAACTTGAGACAAAGGTAGGAGGTGTAGTCTTGCTGTATCCAGACCTACTGACAAGAAGTAACATAGGAGACAGGGCCATCCCAAAGAAGGTGAGTTAATCCTGTCTTCATTTCACTCCCAGAATACTGAGGTACAGTGTGGGTTGGACACAGCAAGGTAAGGATGGGCAGGAAAAGCCGCTTCTGAAGGGTATGCTGCATGATCTATGATGGGTTCCACGCTCCCTGAAGATAAGAAACTCTCACCTACCCCCCTCGATGGAGCCTGGCATATAGTATGTGTTAATAATTAGTGAGCGACTGAAATGAATAAATACATAAACAATAAATAGAAAGACTGATGGTGTCCGTATTGGGGGTAAGAGTATGTGTATCTGTGAGTGTGCGCACATGTCTGTGTTTACATAATAAGCCACAAGCAAAACCGCTACTGTTTCCTCTACTGGCTCACTTTCTAGGCACTGCCCACCTATCACAAACAACAAATACCTACCACATGAATCTGGAAGAAATGACCCCAAGTACCTCATAAGCCATCCCTGAGTGAAGCAATTCAGAAATGAAGAGGGTAGCAAAGGACTTTATCACCCTGGCACCAGATTTCTACTTAACACATAAACAATTTATTAAAGATGACTATATTTGGTTTCCCCTTTTAGTTCATTGATGTCAAGTAATGGGATTTCTTTTTCCCTGAATAAGAACATAATCATGTACTACTGGCTCTTGCACATTTAAAATAAAAAACACCTTAAGTCCAACAAATATTTTCATCATAGACAAGTTTTTTTTAAACAACTTTTAATATTATTATTTGAGCAGCAATCAAAAAGGTATATCGAGTACATTAAGCAATTTAATCTTATTGGCAAGGAGCAGAGATTTGCAAAAAGAAACGATGTGTGGTTCCTAAGTAATGATACAGAATCAGCCCATGAAATTCAATCAATTTTAATATTGTGTGTATTCTTCTAAACTCATACAGCCAACCAACAGCGGCATGGCAATGACATGGCGAGGCCATGAATCATGCTATTGATTTTCAATATCTCCTGTGCAGAAAATTAAATTATGCAAATGCATGCCTTTACGGATCCTTACCTTAATGTGAAAT